TGCCCGCAGCCAGTGGCGCAGGTCCGGCGGTCCTGCAGGTCGCCGGCCTCTACCGGGGCCTGTGCGCGGTGCGCAGCCGCGCCCTGGGCCTGGGACTCGTGTCGCCAGCGCAGCTGCGTGTGTTCCCCGTGCGCCGCGGCTCAGGCGGGCCGGGGGGCGCCGACGGCAGCGGGGTCGGGGCAGAGCTGGAAGCCAATCCCTTCTACGACCGCTATCGCGACAAGATCCAGCAGCTGCGCAGGTGCGGGACCCGGCCGGCTGGCAGCGGGCGGGGGCGGGGAGCAGTGGCCGCGCGTGCTCGAGCGTCTGGGCTTAGGACAGCCCCGCGAGGGGGGCTGTGGTACTCTCCCCACTCTGCAGGTGATGCACCTGAGCTCAGAGAGCCTAGGCCGCTTGCCCAAAGGCACAGCTAGTTAGTGTCAGAGCCGAGGATCTCTGCAGAGCCCTAGTTCTTTCAATAGCTGTCTCCCTTGTGCTTTAGTTCTCCAAACGCCCAGGTGGGCTTTTATGACAGCCCTGTGGAACAGGCAGCTGAGAGAAACCTGTCCCCGTTTCAGAAGTGGAAAAATGAAGCCTTTCAAGAAGGGACTTGACTTTTCAAGGTCACTTACTGAATCATCCTTGGCCTGGCCCAGAGCTGAGGTTCCCAAGCCCCTGCCTTAGGCCCCTGACTGCAAGGAAAGGAGATTGAGGGTGGGAGGAGGACGTCAAAGACTATCACAGTCCAAGCGTCAGTTGAAACATCTCATTAAGAGGAGGGAACTCTTGCCAAAAGTTACACAACTGGTTGGGATGTGTCTGCCTCTGGATCCAGAACTCCTGACACTACCCCTCAGCTTCCAGAGGGAAGGACCTGGAGATTACAGGGTGGGAAGAACTGAAGGAGATCACAGGTGATTGGGAGAGAATTTGGAGGGTAAGAAGGCTGATGAAAGGAAACCAGAAATCGCATACTGCAAATTGTTTGAATTCTGTCTTATCTCAACTTCCACTGCCTTAAGTAACTCCACCATCTTCCCCTGGGCTGTTGCCATCCTCTGAGTAATCTTGGGCCCCTCCACCCCAACTCACCTCACTCCTACATGGCAGTCATTCTCACTTTTAGAAACAGTGTTGAGATAAATGAATGAGTAGTTTTGCTCTCATTCCAACAGCATTCAGATATTTTGAAGTATCTGTCATCTTAAAAACCTTAACCCAGACATCCATTCCTCCCAGCTTTCTCTCTCTGATCCCTTTTACATCTCAAGGAGCTATCTATCCAGCTCTGAATACTCCCATTCATTCTTATGCATGAACTGGCTTTGCTCTCCTTCCTTTTATATCAACATTTATGTATTCTGATAACTCAAAGAGGGAGTTTTCAAGGCATCCCACTGACCTCTAGATAACATGCAGTTTCCTTAGAGTTCCTCACAAGGCCCTCACAACCTAGTCCCTAGTCTCACTAGCCTTACCCATTACCAAAAGGTCCTTTGAGCACTTGGTCTAGAACAACAAATATTAGAGCCAAGGGCTGGGGCTGGGGGAGCAGATGTTCTAGGGAAGGAGAGCAACAACATAAGCAAAGTATAGACAGAACCACTTTGACCATTTGGGGATACTTGAGCAAATTTTCATCGTAATACCGGTACCCTCTCATGTCTGTCTCCCACTGGAGAATAAGCTCCTTGAAATAGGAACTCATTTATTTCTCTATCCTCAGAGCCCTGCAGGAGCTCCACTGCCCAAGCTGCCTCTTACCCCCTACACACTTACCATAGCAGGCTCAGATGCCGCTAGTGCTAGCAGGGCTGACACGAGTCCTGTGCTGGCTCCTGCGGCCCTGGCCAGGCAGGCACTATGCCCCTGGGCAGGAACCCCTAGCGTGGCTCTTCACTGAGGTAGAGTTGGCCCAGGATGAAGGAAAGGAAGATCAGCCCATCTACCTGGCAGTGAAGAGAATGGTATTTGGTATCTCCTCCAGAAAGGAATTTTATGAAAGAAGAGCCCCTTTGGGAGCCTTGGCCAGGAAGTTCCACAGAGGGGTAGCCAAGATGGCCCTAAATCCTGTAGACCTCTCTCATGACACTACATTGCCAGAGAGCCGGAGTCCCTGTCTGATGTGTTCACCAAAGTGTGCAGAGCCAAATATCCTGTCATCACCTAAACAGCCTGACGCATTCTTTTTTTTTTTTTTTTTTTTGGAGAGGTTTTTGCTATAGGGCGTGTGCGCTCGCCAGACAGACAGAGAGAGACAGAGAGATAGAAAGCAAGAAATCACCCCCCAGGGGGGATGGCCACACTGCAATCCCTTCTCCTCCATTCTCTCGGGATCTTGGGCATGCACACACAGGCGCCCGGCGTGAGTTTAAGCCACCAGGTCTGGGACTCAAATCGCGGTCGACTACATGGGAGTCCAGAGACATAGCCATTACGCTAACTGCTGGTCCCAAGCCTGACACATTCTTAACAAGGACAGCATCCCCAGTCTGGACTTCAGCCCCGTTTTGACATAAAGGACAAGCTCTGATGTTCCATTTCCAGTAGCAGGTTCTTTGGAGGATGGATCAGAAAGATGTTCAGGTGCTAAGTCTCTGGCAAATAGGCTGCCCAAAGGCTCTGAGTCACCAGGTTCTGAATATAACAGATGTTTATCCTGGGTAGGGAGAGAGATTCAAGAACTGGTTGTACTCAATTAAAAGCTTGATACTAAAGAAAAAAAAAAAGAAAGAAAGAAAGTTTGAGACCTGGGAGGGAAGAAGGGATGCTATAGCATTCCCGTGAGGAAGTGACCCAGCAATAGATGACCTCAAAGTACCCTTCCTGTCCTGAGCATTCTACGTACCCGAGGGGCCAAGCCCTGTGTCACTCAGGAATAGCTTGCAGGAGAAACATGCCACACAGGCCCCTTGAGGGTTAAAAGTAGTTGTATATTTTTCTTGATTTCATGATCTGTGCCCGGTCGTTACTAACTGAAGGCAAATCCCTCAGCCTCCCTGAATGCCTACGTGTTTTCTGGGTGGAAGCAGAACATGATGCTTTGTTATTTCAGAATCTCAAAAGGCCTAGGTGGTTTACCCTTCAGTTTCTTTTTGATCAGGTCAGACCCAGCTGCTTTTGAGTCTCGCCTGGAGAAGCGCAGTGAGTTTCGGAAGCAGCCAGTGGGGCACTCCAGGCAGGGTGATTTCATCAGATGTGTGGAGGAGAAGGTAAGCCCTGCCCTTTTTGTGTTGTCATCACACCAGCAGTCCTCTCCTCCCTGAGCCCTTATCCTTGAAGTAGGCTTGCTGATGGGTCAGCTGGATGAACCGAACATAGCCTGTCCCTGCCCAACTCAGTCTGCTCCCTTAAGTGTATCACATACTCTCTGGGCAAGGTACTGTGGTCCTGGTGGAGAGACAGGAAGGAAAAGGGTAGTCTCTGCTCCCAGTGGGTGTGGCTAGTGGTCAAGGCAATGCATACATGGCAGGGGGCTAGGGGATCAGGGGAAAATACCCCAGGGGTGGTGGAGCCTGACCTAAGCTAGGAAGGATGTGGAAGGTTTAAATTAAGCAGAGAAGAGAGTGGGACTTTGATATGGAGCAGGAATCATCAGACTTTTTCAGTTAAGGATCAGATAATCACTATTTTAGGCTTTGTAGGCCATATGGTCTCTGTTGTAGCTAAGCTCTGCTATTACAGTGGAAAAGCAGGCATAGACCATAAGGAATTGAATGGGCGTGTTTCATTAAAAGCTTATTTATGGAAACAGCTGGTAGGCTGGATTTAGTTTGCTGACAACCACCCACTCCCTACCCCGACCCCACTGGTACCCTTGTGTGGAGGAATTAGCTTAAACAGAGGAGAAACTTGAAAGTAACAGGGGCTCTAGGAGACGATGAGGTACCTTGACCGATTAAAGTAGAGGGGGGAGTGTTGAGGCCAAAGAAACAGGTTAGGCGTTAACCTCTAGGCTAAGGACTTGCCTTAAGGAATGGAGGCAGGGTAACTCAGCTGCTGAAAGGTGGACCTTGGAGCCAGATGCAAGGGACTGTCCTGGCTCTTCTTACTGGCTAGGTGACTCTGAGCAAATTATATAACTTCTCTGCAAAGCAGGAATAATACCACTGCTTACCTCATAGAGTTGTGCTAGAGATGAAATGAGATTGTACATAAAACTCTTCAGCACAGTCCCTGGCACATAAGTACTTAATAGGAATCAAAGCTGGGGAAAAGCATGTTGAAAGCTGTGTGTGGGAAGATTAACCTAATACTGTGCTTTTCCAACTTTCCGGCCATTACTTACGGTAAGAAATATATTTTACCTTATCATGTAGTATCCATGGAGATTATATATATATATATATATA